GTATGAATTATCTTGATCTTGGTCCCCAACTACACATACTTACATTTAAGAATCTTTTCTAGCTCCTTCATGGCTACCCTGAAGGACAGTGTTTGCCACAATAATACAACATCTAATTGAACATGGACATGGACTGGTACCAGAGCTTACAATAAACTCAGATACCAACTTTACTGCCACATACTCCCAAGACAACACAATCACTGGACCTAACAACATCAACTACACCATCTCAGGCTTATTCACTTGCTCATCTTCTAACACTGTATATGCCATTAAATGCCAACAATGTCATTCAGTTTTCTACATAGGGCAAACATGTCAAACCCTATGCCAAAGGATAAATGGACACAAATCTGACATTAAGAACCACAAAACTGAGAAACCTGTAGGAGAAGATTTCAACTTCCCAGGGCACTCAATGGGGTACCTCAAAGAAGCTGTTTGGCTACAAAGGAATTTCAGAAACAGACTGGAACAGGAGATTGCTGAATTACAGGACAAAACTCAGGACAAAACAATCAGATGTTGTTGCACACCCATTTCTGTTAAAACCAACCATAACTTTTCATGATCCACACAGTTAAAAGCTTTGCTGTAATTAATGAAACACAAGCTGATTTTTTTTTCTGAAATTCACCCGTATGCTCCAGTAACCAATGTAAATTTGCAATATGATCTCTAGTGCCTCTTTCTTTTATGAATCCAGCTTGAACATTTGGCATTTCATGATCCATATATGGTAACAGTCCTTGTTGTAAGATTTTGAGTATCACTTTAGTTGCATGAGAAATTAATGTGATGGTCTGATAGTTACTGCAGTCTTTGATGACTCCTTTGTCAGAATTGGAATGTAGATTGAGCATTTTGTTTTCCATATTCGTTGGCATACTCTTGTCAAGATTTTGATGAACTTCATTTCTGTGACTTGGATTTGTTCTATTGATACCCCATCTACTCCTGGTGATTTATTTCTCCCAATTGTTCTCAGTGCAGCTTTCACTTCACTTTCAAAAACTGTTAGGTTCTTCTTCAGAAGACTCTTCTTTGAAGGAATCTGTCATCCTTTAATCTCTTTTATATAGTTCTTCAGTGTATTGTTCCCATTTTTATTTTATCATGTTCAGTCAATGTATTTTTATATTGATCTTTCAGCATACCAAACTGTGCTTTAAGTTTCCCTTTGATTTCTTGGATCTTTTTTCTCTCTCTTCCTATCTCTTTTTATTGGTTTTTATAATAGTTCTCTTTGCCTCTCTGTACAATCACTGGAATGCTGCATTTAGACGTCTGATTATATTTTTGTCACCTTTTACTTTTGTTTCTTGCCCGTCTTTAGCAATTTAAAATTTTTCATCAATCATCCATTGAGGATTTTCATATCTTTTGGCTACAAGAATAGTCTTTGTGCATTCTTCCTTGATAATATCTCTGTTCAACCCATAGTTCTTCTGGTTCATGTTTACTTGAACTTAGCAATGAAAATCTGTTCTTTACATGGTCTTAAATTTTTCAGGAATGTTGTTTTGATTGTATTTTTGCACTATGAACATTTGGTGTTTTTCTTCAGCTTTATTCTATTTTTTCATATTAGCTGTTCATGATCTGTACCAGAATCAGCACCTGGCCTTGGTTTAGCTGAAAGAATACAGCGGCCGGAAGCAGGGGGCGGGGCTTCGTCATGTGCCCCGCCCCCCTGCACCTCACCTGGGGGAACTGTGTTCCCCCGCGTTCCCCCCCAAAATGACCTCTGGTGCCATCCATGAACCTGCCTTCACTAGTTTGTATGTTTAGTAGTTGTTTAAATACATTAGAACATAGGAAGAGCCATGCTGGATAGACCAAATGCACATCAAGTCCAGCATTCTGTTCACACAGGTGCTAATTAGATGCCTCTAGGAAGCCCACAAGCAATATGTCTGCAACAGTATCCTACTGTCCGTGCTTCCCAGCAATTGCCCCTGGTACTAGAGGGAATAGATATCCATCACAACCAATAGTCATTGTGACTAGTAGCCATGGAAGCAGTTTTATTCTCTGTTCCTTTTCTAATTATGGCAAGCATGGAATTTGCCTTTTTTATAGAAGCTGCACACTGGGTTAACATTTTCACAGAGCAATCCATTGCCACCCCAAGATCCCTTTCTTGGTCTGTCATTGTCAGCTCAGATCCCATCAGTGTGTATGTGAAGTTGCTAGCTTCCTTTTTCTTTGTTAGCCCCATGGGTTTTTTATTTTGAAAAGAGAAAGCTGGAATATAATTTAAGAAATAAATATAACAGGTAGGGCAAAATTATGCCTGGAAGCAACAATAATTTGAATATTGGGATCTGGCAAGGGGACAGAGAGAGTGAGTGCTTAGGGCATCAGAACAAGAGGACAAATTACTGTGTTATTGTAAATCCAGTAAAACTGGGTTTTTCAATATGTAACATACACAGCCTTTGCTGTTAACATCTTGCCCAGGCTGAGCAACACATTGCTCAAACCATCTCTGGAACATCATATCTCTAGCAGCCACATATGTGCATATAAAAAAATGCATGGGGACACACAGGGCTAAGATAGAGATTAATGTAGGTTTGCAGAATTTTTAAAAATAATTAAACTAGGGGATTAATCCCCCTCCCCCTGGGACTTCAGGCATTGGAGGGGCATTTTGTCAACAGTCAGTGTTGCAGTTAAGTCTGGCTATAGATCTGTGGCATCTATGTGACAGGGGCTGACAGCTCTAAGTGACTGAAGAGCTGGCTCTGACCGGTTCTGGCTGGCGTATGCCAGAGCTAATTAGCATGACTCGGCATTGGCCCTGATTGGCCAATGGATGTATAAGTACAATGAGGTGCTGTACAGTTTTTCTTCTTGTGATTATTGGGTGTCTGCGAAGCATTATGTCAGTCTGTGTAATTATTGGTGAAGGCTTTGTAAATAAACTGTAAATAGATTTTACACTAAGCCTTGAAGACTCCAGTCTTTATTGGATACTCTTGCATCTGTGTTCTGTCTGCAGTGGGCTAGCACCGCGCATACCGACACATTTTGGTTACATTAACAAGTGAGGGGGGAAGCAGAATGGGCGTGAATGGCAGAGCTGTGGGGTAACCAGGGGAGGAAGGAGTAGGGTTGCTAGACCCCCCAGTGGAGGCAGGAGTCCCCTACCGCCAGGTCCCACTACCCTACTGCTGCTTAGCTGGCCATTGTCCTGAAAAAGAGGGAGATCCAGCCAACATGCAGCAACATATCTATGTCACTGACCCAGAAGTGATGTTATCACATTGGGGTGATGCTCTGGTATTTGGGCAAAAACTCAGTGGTAGAAGCCAAATCTTCCATAGAGTTTTTGCCCAATACCAGAGCATCTCCCTGATGTGATGATGTCACATGGGCAGTGACATAGGCACACTGCTGCACATTGGCTGGGCCTCCCTCCTGCTCCCAGTAAGCCCCAGCCTCGCCAGTTGCCAGGAGGAAATTGGCAACTCTAGGGAGGAGATTGAGGGCTGATAAAGGTGGAGAACATAAGATAGGAGGTGAGTTTTGGAGTGGAGACAGGAAACAGGCATAGTGAGAGGATGGGAGAAATAGAAACTGCAAGAGAGAGAAGAGGCATACTGTTGTGGGAAGAAAAGACTGGGCAGGTGGATAGAGAGGAAGAAATATTGGCAGAGTGAGTGACTGGGGCTGCTGTGTTAGGAACACTTTCCTAGGAATAAGCCCTGTTTTTTTAAAATGTGAACATTTCTCTGCTCACAATGGCTCTCTAAGGGGGGGAAACAGCATGGGTAGGGAGGAAATGGAACAAGAAGGGATAAATGGGGCCAACAGGGGTGGGAAGGGGAGTCCAAACATGGGATCCTCTGGCTCAGTGTTTTCTGCTCTGAGAGGCACTTGCAGCTCTCCAATTCCTGAAGGGAGAGCTCATTCCCAGCAACTGCTGCCTAAGCTTCTTGTAACTAGAGATGCCAGAGACCGAACCTGATGCATTCTACATGCATACTCAGCTCTTCCCCAGTTCCATAGAACAATGTCAATGAGCAGGCAGCTGCACATATAGATGACTGAGCGAGACCTTTTTTAATGTACATAGTTGTGACAAACTGCGCTTTAAAAGCTCATAAGCAGGCCTGTAACTACATTGGGGCATCTCTGGGCTGGGCCCCCTGACTTACCACCCAGGCCTCCCAGCTTCCCATCCAGCCGGTTCAAAACTTTTAAATTTTAAATTTCTGTAAAGCTTTAAGTTCTCACATGCTGGAAACATATGAACTGGAGTTTTGATTATACCAAGTTACCTCAGAGTTTTATTTGATTCACCTCAGACATTTTACCCGTGATTTCACCTGACCTTTCCCCCTCTATGTTGAATAAAATATTTTATTTTTGAACTTTAAAAAGCCTGTTATGTGCCATTTTCAGGAGTTTAAGTTAAAGAGGTGATTTTGTCTCTTCCCTCAAGTTCCTGGGCTGAGGCAGCATCAAAGTACAGTAAAGTGATAGAATGGGACAGCCATAAACATCCAGAAAAGAAGAAAATAGATAAATGGGCTGCTCAGCCAAGAAGGAAGGGAAAATGGAGGGAAAATCCTGCATGCAAAGAAGGGAAGAGGGCGAGGTCATCATAATAGCCTTCAAGAAACAGTCCACCAATATTTGTTCCCAAGATCCATAATGACATATTTACATAGTTAGTTAGCTTTAGTATATTATTTGCAGTTCCATCCTAAGCCCAGTTACACCCTTCTAAGTCTATTCAGGTCCGTGGACTTAGAAGAGTCTAACTCTGTTTAGTATTGCACTGTTATTCTGCTATCTGTGGGGTGCATGCGTACAGTGTACTCTGCTTTGTTCTTAAAAATTTAACTAACATCCTTTGGTCCGTACCTTATCTACTACTTATTTGTTATTTCACTGACCATTTTAGTTCCATGGAATTTATTTATGACAGACCAAAACTGATGGACAGATATTATAATGTCGAAGGTATTATGCTTTATTTACAGGCAGAGTTTAATCAGAACCATGAATCCCTGTTCTTTAATGATGGCCAGAGAAGAATTGATTTTGTTTTAGTGTATGAAGATGAGAGCAAAAAGGAAAATCGAAAGAGGAGCTTTAATAAAAAACAAAAGGTATGAAGTACTTTCTCTTCTGTTTAGCCATTGATCAAGGCTTGGCTTTGCTGCATGTTTCCAAGCTTCTGTTTTCAGTGATTTTTAGAATCTCTCAGTCAAAATGTCCCACAGCTTCCAAAGGTGTGCTAACTTTTTAAAAAATGTATAAGCTGAGTCATCATTTATATCTTCTCAAATGACACAACTTGCTGTTCTCTTCCTTTGCTCATTCGTTTACTTGGAGTTAAAAGATCTCTTACCTAGCCACTGAGTTGAAAGATACTTGGTTTCTTTTGTTTGGTTTCTTTTAGAAGCACAGGCTGCAAAGCTAAAGATAGTAACAGGAATCTTTACATGTTATACGATATGCATCTTTCTGTTTCTTCTTCCTGTTTTACTTTCCTGAGTTTTAGAACCAATCTACACATTCAGAAGAATCACATGATGTAGAATCACATGATATATATAGACGTGGAAACCACACATCTTCAGAATACACATTCTCCCCTCTCCCTGAGCAAAACCTCTGCGCATGGAAACTTCATGTGGCAGAAAGAAAGCTAGTCAGAACTTTTGTTTACACCCATGTCAGTGCCAAAAATAAGAGCCAAAAAGCCAAGAACACAATCCCTAATGACATATTACAGTATACAGGTGTTTGAGTTCCCAAGAACTCAGGCCAGATATTACAAAAGAAAAAGAGAGGCAAAGCAGGTTTTCCAGGTCATGCTTTTTAGGAACCATGTCATGCCAGCATATGGTGGATTTTCTGGCAGGCAAATACCTAGAACGTGTCTCTCTGACTTGCTTGCTTTCCACAGGCAGGAAGTCTTTGGCATGGGAGATTATTCCCATAGGCTTCCATGTGTAGATTGTGGTCTTTAGCATTTGCTGCTCTTTTTTTTTTTAAGTTATGTAGGCTCCCCATATTCTTTTCTGACAGGGACTCTTGTGCCTTTACTAGCTGTATGTTGGAGAGAAATTGAGTAGGAGCGATCTGCAATAGGTTGAGACTATTATGGCTGAAAAGGCTGTATTTTCAAGCGTTTTTTTAATTCTTCAGGTTGCTCCCATAATTGTTTAGCACTAATTGTATTACATTTGAACAATTTTTTTGTTTTGCTCGATTGTCCCATCAAACATAGCTTGTTATAAAAAGCTGTTATAATTATCCTATTCTCCTTTGCAGGGAAATGGCATGCAGGGAAAACTTAACCCTCCTTCCCCGAGCGCTGCCATCTCAATCCTTATTGAGTCTCCCATACCTGGTTTATAGAGCCAAATAATTCATCTGGATTTCTAATAATGGAACTTCAGTATTCAATGTAGTTTGTTACCTAGTAACCAAATTGGATTTAGTACTAAACTACCAATGGGAAAGTAAACCCTTCAGGGGCCATATAGTTGTAAGACTAATGCAGCTATAACCCTCACAATATATATGAAGAAGATAAAAAACAAATTGTTATAGATTTACTAAGAGAGACAGATTAGAGAACTTCCGGCCTAGCTACACCTGGAAAAGTCTGATTTCTTAAATAAACAGCCTTTTACTGACTCATTCTTGCTAATCAAATAAAGTAATTCAAATTAACTTGACCGTTTGGCAAACTGAGAGATTGTTTGTAAAACCTCCCCCCATCCAGTAGTATACAATCCCATAAAACATCAGTGTCCTTTTATGCTTTGTGTGTGTGTTAAGTGTGATAGAGTTGCTTCCAACTTATGGCGACCCTGTAAAGTAATGACCTCCAAAATATCCTATCATTAACAGTCTTACAAACTGAAAGCCATGGCTCCCTTGATTGAATCAATCTGTCTCATGTTGGGTCTTCCATGTTTCTTGCTGCCTTCAACTTTTTCTCGCATCATTGTCTTTTCCAGTGAGTCTTAATAGCCCTATTACCTGTGTAAAAATGCCCCCCTGAGCGATTCTGTTTTATGGAATGCCAGAAATGTGGGAGTCCTCCTGACCTTCTCAGGCAGGCCATTTCATAAGGTGGGGGGCTGCAACAGATAATACATGTGTACGGACAGTTGTTGATCTCACCCATTTCTTATTCTTTTTATTTTTTCTACTTTATCTATGCTTTTTATCTACTTTATTCTTTTTTTCTACTTTATCTTTATTCTCAAAAGCTCTTAGCTTTTGAGAATAAAGGGTGTATCAGCCCTTTCCACTCATGCTTACTTGGTAAATATGCTATATGTGATCCTCCAATACAGGGGATCACCATTTTGTCTGAAAGGGGCAACACACATGCTTTCAGTCTCAGTATAGACATACCAGGACAAAATGGTGGTCACACATATTTGGGAGGATTGCATTTAGCATACACTTCTGGTACGTAGAGTTGCTGGGCTCCCAGTATATAATCATAACAACTGAGAAGCGCCTCAAATTCATGTTTGTCATCTTGTTAGTCTAATCATAGTTTCCTGGGTGTTGATATAATGCACACATTGTTTTTTGTTTGCACACAGAATATTTTATGAGCACATCTTCACAGCTTGATTTGTGATCCAAAAATGATCTCAGCAAATAAATAAACAAATACAGTATCTCATTCTTTATTTTTGCTGTAAGATCTATGGCTTCTGCTTATATGCATTGCTGTTAAAGAATGTGAATAATCACGTTTACAATTTTTTTAATCAATTCTAACAGCGGAAGAGAGAAGTATATGAGTCTAACTTGATAACCCGTGGTTTGCAGCTGGAAGCAACAAGGTCGGTAAGTGCAATTCTCTTTATGCATTTTAAAAAGTGGAGCTGCTTCTTCTACTTACCTGAAACGGAATTCTGACTCATAAGAACTCTGTGCCACATTGCAAACTACACAGTGTTTTTCCAGAACTGTGGACAAATATATTTCTAGTAGAAATAGTGTAGATATATATTGCTTTTGGCATAGTGTTATCGTCATCTGCTTCTTCCAGCACAGAGACAGTGGAAGGAGCAGGTGCCCAATTTGAGAAGCTCATTCTGTGTCTGCTTCATAGGGTGACTGCACTTTTTCACTAAGATCAGTTGATATGGTTGAGCGTCCATAATACTCCGATGCCTTTTTACCTTCTTTTAAATCTCTGTTGCAAATTGTGCAGTAGCTTATTTATGCATGAGGATCATGCCTGCTTTTTAACATCCTGTAATGTATTGAAACGATTACATGAATCACCTCATAGGACTCCCATGTTAAGCTTCGAGCCAGGCCAGGGCTCCTCTGAGCGAACTTCCTATTGGTCGCTTCGTAACAGCGACCAATCAGAACAATACCATTCCCTAGGAGGGAAAGACTCCCATTGGTCCTTAACTACGCAATCTCATTGGTTGTTAATTGTAAATAGGCGTGGCTACATTAGCCCGGTTATGTTTAAAAGGAGCATAAGCTCCCACTGTTTTCGGTTCTGGTTTCTTATTGAGTTGAGTGCTTGTTCGTTACTTCCAATAAAGCTGAATCACTTGCTGAATCACTCTAAGAGTCCTTTGTTAGCGCGATCTAACAATTGGCGACGAAGGTGGGATGTTAGAGCAGGTAGGCAGCCCTGCGGACATCCACACTTCGGACTCGGAAGAAAGCGGGCAAAGCACAGCAGCCGATCCGGCGGAGGCGCCACCAGCTCCGGTGCCCAAGTCTCCCCCGATGGCTGGAAGCCAGAAGTTCGAGTGCTTCGAACCCTCCTCAGAAGACTGGGACTCCTACCTATCCAGGTTCGAGTTCCATCTGGAGACACACGACATTACAGACGAGGCCAAGAAACGGGCGTGCCTCCTGAGTTCCTGCGGGAAGGGAACCTTCGACATAGCCAGGTCGTTGGTGGCCCCAACTAATATAAAGACTGTCACCTACGCTGACATCACGGAGAAGCTTAAGGCTCACTATTCTCCACAACCGTCGGAGATCGCCTGCCGGCACGCGTTTTACAAGCGGAACCAGGCCGGAGGCGAGACCATCGCAGATTTCGTGGCGGCCCTTCGCAAAGCCGCACGACCATGTAATTTCCACAACGTGGAGGAAGCCCTCAGAGACCGTCTCGTCTGCGGTCTCAAAGATGAAAGGCTGCAACAGAGGCTGTTCGCCCGCACCACCCTGACCTGGGCAGTGGCCTACGAAGAGGCCGTGGCCGCGGAAGCAGCGGAGAAGTCCACGAAGGAGGTCCGCCAGCGGGTGGCAGAGCCCAGTATACACGCTCAACGAGACAGCGAGGGCGAAGACGCGGATGATGACGTCAACGCGGTTCGAGGCAAGCGGACCCCAGCGAAGACTACCAACGTCAAGCCTTGCTCCGGTTGTGGCGGGAAGCACCAGCGCGACTCCTGTTGGGCTCGTGATGTCGACTGCAGAGCGTGTGGACGGCGTGGTCATCTGGCCAGAGTCTGCAGATCAGCAAAGAAGGATCCCTCAACTAACAACCGGTCAGCGCAGAGGGGCACTCCAGTCAGCACCCAAGGCAAGACCCGTTCCTCAGCATCGGAAGCAAGCTGCCAGTTGACGGCGACCTTGTCGAGCGCATCGGCCGTAAATCGCACCAGCAGCCAGGGCAAGATCACCGTGACTCCACTCCTCGACGGCCGACCCTGTACAATGGAGGTGGACTCAGGATCGTCCGTGACGGTGATTTCTGCCGCGTCCTGGCGCCAGTTGTTCCCGAACCGAAGCCGGCGGCGGCTCCAGCCTGCGGGAACCAGAGTGTCCGACTTCCAGGGCAACCGAATTCCCTTGGCCGGACGGGACTCTGTTACTGTTGAGTATAAGGGGAAATGTGTTAAACTGTCATTCCTGATTGCAGAGGGAGACCGGGTTAACCTGCTAGGGTTAGATTGGTTTGAGCCATTGGGCATTGGTATTTCTGGGATTAACAGGATGTCTGAAAATAAATGGGGCATGCTGTACGACCTGTTCCCTGATGTATTTGCCGAAGGGTTGGGGAGGTACAAGGGCCCCCCGGTTGCGTTTGACTTAGATCCGTCAGTCAAACCTATTAGGTTGAAGTATCGGAAAGTACCTGTGTCTCTCAAACATAAGGTGGAAAAAGAGATTGACAAACTAGTTGAGCAAGGGGTTTTAGAGCCAGTACCATACAGCAAATGGGAGACCCCGATCGTAACCCCTGTCAAATCAGATGGGTCCATACGACTATGCGCCGATTACAAATGTACGATTAACAAGGCGCTGCAGCAACATTCGTACCCGGTCCCGGTAATAAGCCACATTTTGGCTTCCCTGGGGGGTGGCAAGATTTTCGCCAAATTTGACCTGGCCCAGGCATACCAGCAGTTGCCTGTCACCCCGGAGGCTGCCGAGGCCCAAACAATTGTAACCCACCAAGGGGCTTTTAAAGTGAACAGGCTGCAATTCGGGGTCAACGTAGCACCTGGGATTTTTCAGGGCCTCATGGAACGTCTACTAAGGGGGGTACCTGGCACAGTGCCCTATTTTGACGACGTGCTGATTGCGGGCGGGTCTGAACAGGAACTACTGGACCGGGTTAAAGAGGTCCTCAGGCGTTTTCAAAATGCCGGTCTCAGAGTTAAGCGCTCAAAATGCACGCTCGGGGTGGAAAGTGTGGACTTCCTGGGGTTTCGCATTGACGCAGAGGGAGTCCACCCCACGGATGAGAAGGTATCTGCAATCCAAAACGCCCCCAGGCCGGTGAGTAAGAAGGAGCTCCAATCCTTTTTAGGACTCCTGAATTTTTATCATGCGTTTTTACCGCATAAGGCATCAGTGGCGGCCCCTTTGCACGCGCTTTTGCACAAGGAGGCAAAATGGAAGTGGGGGCAGGCCGAGGAAAAGGCTTTTGTGGGAGTCAAGGAGCTGCTGACATCTAATGCCGTACTCACGCATTATGATGAACACAAGCTCCTGGTGTTAGCTGCTGACGCTTCACCTTTTGGAGTAGGCGCAGTTTTAAGCCATCTGATGCCTGATGGGAGCGAAGCGCCTATCGCTTTTTATTCTAGATCACTATCTGCGGCAGAGCGGAACTATGCCCAGATAGACAAGGAGGGTCTGGCGTTGGTAGCGGCTGTCAAAAAGTTCCATGATTTTATTTTTGGCAGACGATTTTTGCTGGTCACTGACCACAAGCCGCTACTGGGGATTTTTGCGCCCGATAAGCAATTGCCAAACATCATGTCCCCACGCATGCTTAGATGGGCGATATTTTTGCAGGCTTATGATTTTGACTTAGAGCACCGGCCTGGGAAAGCGATTGGGCATGCGGATGCCCTCAGCCGGTGCCCGGTGCCGGACATTGGCGCAGACCCTGCCCCCGCCTGTGAGGTCTTGGCAATTGAGGAGCTTCCTCGACCCCCGGTATCATCCAGGGACATTGCAGCACACACGGCCAAGGATAGCGTGCTGTCCCGAGTATTAAACTGGGTTTGGAGGGGGTGGCCGGTTGGAAGCGTTGAACCGGAGTTCGGCCCTTACAAAAGCCGTCAAAATGAACTATCCATTTCTAAGGGCTGTGTATTATGGGGGAACAGGGTGGTGGTTCCTGACAAACTCAGGACGAGAGTGTTAGAGTCGCTGCACGAGGGTCACCCCGGTATGGTACACACCAAAGCGTTGGCCAGAGGGTATGTCTGGTGGCCGGGGCTGGACAAAGAGATCGAAGAATGGGTACGAGGGTGTCCCAAATGCCAGCAAGTCAGACCCGATCCCCCACAAGCTACACCCCAAGGCTGGGAGTCATCTGGTAAACCCTGGGCCAGATTGCATATAGATTTTGCTGGCCCTCTCCAAGGGCAAATGTTCCTAATTGTGGTGGACGCTATGTCCAAATGGCTGGAGGTCGTGCATATGAAATCGACCACATCACTTGCTGTGATCCATGCGCTCCGCCGACTTTTTGCCACCCACGGGTTGCCTGACGTCATCGTCAGTGACAACGGGCCTCAATTTGTGTCTGAGGAATTTAGGCTCTTCCTCACGAGTAATGGCATACGCCAAATGACTTCGGCCCCTTTCCATCCGGCATCTAATGGCCAAGCCGAACGGATGGTCAGGACGGCCAAAGAGGCCCTGGGTAAAATGGACGAAGGGGACTGGAGCCAGAGGCTGGGCTCCTTTCTTTTGCTGCAGCACACCACCCCCTGTAGTGCTACAGGCCGTAGTCCGGCCGAATTGTTAATGGGGCGGAGACTCACGACCCGTTTGAACCGAATGCACCCAGACCTCACTGAAGAGCAATCCGAGCGTACCACGGCGCAACCGAAGGTGCGCATGTTTGAAAAAGGGGACAAGGTTTTCGCACGAAATTATGCAAACGGGCACTTATGGCTTCCTGGGGTTATATCCGACTCTGTGGGTACTCGAATGTATGTGGTGCAGTTAGCTGACGGTCGAATATGGCGGCGCCACATAGATCAGTTAAGGAGACGTTGGGCTAGGGACAGCGCTGACTCTCCGACGGCTGAATCCCCTGATGTCGAGTGGACACCCCCAGAGCAGGCGGTGAGTACCGAAAGGCCCGGTACTGTCCCCGAGTCAGGGCAGAACCCTGTGTGCGGGGCTGAAATCCCAGTCGAGTCTGTGCCTGATCCAGGCTGTAGTGAACCCCACTCTGACCCACAACCTTGTCTGCCCATGGAGCCTGCACCGCTCCGCAGGTCCCAGCGTTCGCGGCAAATGCCGACTTATCTGAAGGACTATGAGTGTAAATACTGTTGGAATAACTGATGTACAAAGGTTGATTGCATGTTTGTAAATAATAAAACAATTGGGATGATGGCTTAACTTAGGGGGGAGGAATTGTAATGTATTGAAATGATTACATGAATCACCTCATAGGACTCCCATGTTAAGCTTCGAGCCAGACCAGGGCTCCTCTGAGCGAACTTCCTATTGGTCGCTTCGTAACAGCGACCAATCAGAACAATACCATTCCCTAGGAGGGAAAGACTCCCATTGGTCCTTAACTACGCAATCTCATTGGTTGTTAATTGTAAATAGGCGTGGCTACATTAGCCCGGTTATGTTTAAAAGGAGCATAAGCTCCCACTGTTTTCGGTTCTGGTTTCTTATTGAGTTGAGTGCTTGTTCGTTACTTCCAATAAAGCTGAATCACTTGCTGAATCACTCTAAGAGTCCTTTGTTAGCGCGATCTAACACATCCATCCACTCATTATTGAAGTGCAGCAAGTTCAAGAAAGTGAAAAATGGTCCCTTATCAAAGTGGCCCAATTTATAGCATCTACACCGATTCCACAAATGTTTTATTCTGTGAACAATGAATATCAGCTGCATGTTACCTGTGCTTAATGCACTCTGTACTGATATGAAATCCAGTATAAATCAGGCTTGAGATCCAGTTAAGTCATATTTGTAACCATACCTTGTTACTCTAATGCTGGTTTCATCAATGAACAACATTTGTCATTTGAAAATTTTTCAAAACAACAGTCTTGTTTGGAGAGGTCAGTTTACAAACTCATCAAGTAGTTTTGTTGCTGTTGTTTTACATGACTCTGTAACTTGGCAGTTTTATCATCCTTGAAACAAGACTATAGTTGACTCTTTAACATATGCCTCTGTCCACTGAAATCTTGACTCTTTTTTCCTACTTCAGCCAGGGCTCAGCCTTAAGTCCTGAAACAATTCTGAGTGTGTCCAATTATTAAGCCTTCTGTCACCAAGGAGTCTTCACAAATGGGTCATTCTCAACTAAGATTGAAGAGAAGGGCTTCCATGTCACAAAGCTGCTTCCAATCTTGATTGTTTCCTGGCATCTCCTTACAAAGACTCAAACTAGATGTTGTCTGGGTTCCCCATGTGCCAACTGCAGCTCCAAAATAGCCCACTGGGCCTTACAGTTCAGGAAAACTGTGAGAGGGGGAGGCAGGAGCCCCTCTTTCCTCTACCCTGTGGTCCTGAGCAGAACTGGACCCCCATGGCTCTTTAAAAGGCAATTCCCTGCAGCTCCTGCATTACTGCAGGGAACATGATTTGGGTCAGTAGAACCTGGACTTGACTCATTAAAAGCCATAATGTCTAATTGGAACCTTAAAAATTAATCATTGCCTTTCCAGCATTGACACATGCAGTGGTTCACTATCAGTCTGCCAGTTTATGCCTCTGAGCTCTGCTTCAGGAGTGGAGCAAGGCTTATCGCCCCTACAAGAGAGCATCACAAAGCAGTCATAGAAGCACGGGGACTGTGCAGGCTGAGCAGATAGCAGCACCTGCCATGAGTCGCTGATACTGTGATTCCTGGGCATACTGGAAACTACACATAAACACATGAAGTGTCTTACATTGAAGCAGACTCATTGGTCCATCAAGGGCAGCATTGTCTACTCACACTCTCCAGGGTTTCAAGCAAAGGTCTTTTGCATCACCTCCTCATTGATCCATTTAACTGGGGAAGCTGAGGGTTAATATAAATAAATAACAGCTTCAGTCTCCCTTCGCAGAGGCAATGGCCTTCATGTGCAAGCAGCCTTAGAATCATAGACATAGAATGTTAAAGATGGAAGGGACCTTGCAGGTCATCTAGTCCAACCCCCTGCAGTCTGCAGGAGCATAGCCGAAAGATAGTCCTACAACATACCGAAAAATGGTTGTCCATCCTCCACTTGAAAATGTCCAGCGAAGGAGCATCCACCACCTCCCGAGGCAGTCTGTTCCACTGCTCAACCACTCTTACAGTTAGGAAGTTTCTCCTGATATTTAGCCGGTATCGACTCCCTTGTAATTTCCACCCATTAGATCTAGTCTTGCAATCTGGAGCAAGAGAGAATAGATCTGCGCCATCTTCTACATGACAGCCCTTCAAATATTTGAAGACTGCAATCATGTCCCCTCTAAGCCTTCTCTTTCCCAGGTTAAACATACCCAACTCTTTCAGCCTTTCCTCATAAGACTTGGATTCCAGCCCTCTCACCATCCTGGTTGCCCTCTTCTGGACAGACTCGAGCTTGTCAACATTCTTCCTAAAATGTGGTGCCCAAAACTGGACACAGTACTCCAGGTGAGGCCTGACCATAGCAGAATAGAGCGGAACAACCACCTCCCTTGATCTGGACACAGTGCTTCTGTTAATGCATCCTAAAATTGCATTAGGTTTCTTTGCAGTCACATCGCACTGCAAGCTCATGTTTAGCTTGTGATCAACCATAACAACTAGATCCCTTTCACATGAGCTGCTGTCAAGCCAAGTCCCTCCCATTCTATATCTCTGCCTTTGATTTTTTATACCTAAGTGTAGGAATTTGCACTTATCTCTATTGAAATTCATTTTATTTATCTCAGCCCACTGTTCCAGCCTATCTAGAACATTTTGAATCCTCACTCTGTCTTCCTCCAGGTCATTTATAAAAACATTGAACAACACCGGGCCCAGAACCAAGCCCTGTGGCACTCCACTCGAGATTCCCCTCCATGTAGACACAGAGCCATTTATGAGCACTCATTGGGTACAATTTTTCAACCAACCATGAATCCATCCAACAGTTGCACCATCCAGCCCACATTTAACCAACTTATCTTCAAGGATATCATGAGAAACTTTGTCAAATGCTTTACTGAAATCTAGATACACTATGTCCGCAGCATTGCCAGAGTCAAGCATTTTAGTAACTCTGTCAAAAAGGGAGATAATGTTGGTCTGGCATGACTTATTCTTGATAAACCTATGCTGGCTACTACCAATTAACTAATTCCGTTCAAGGTGCTCACAGACAGATCTGCTCTAGAATTTATCCAGGTATTGATGTCAAACTGACAGACCTATAGTTTCCTGGGTCCGTCTTTTTCCCCTTCTTGAGGATCGGGACAACATTCACCCTTCTCCAGTCTCCCGGCACAACAACGGAACATCTGTACAACTGTTGGACCTGGGGCCTTCTGCATCCAAGCAGATCCTCTTCCACTGAGTCATGGCCCCCTACTACTACTCAGTCAGTAGTCTGTGCAGCTGCAGGGTGCTGAAGTGACAGTGAAGTCCCTGCTTTCCTTCATCATGATGCCTTCTGTTAAAGGTGCTGAGTCCCTCTTCCCCCATGCACCAACAGGAGCTCTTAATCTGCTGCTGGTACTGGACATGTACCATGACAACCAGTGGAGTTTGTGCAAAAGAACTTGCTAGTGAATTGTTCCCCACTATGCCCTTTTAGGTACTTTATTGATATTTAAGAGATGAGATAGTTTTATTACTTAAAATGCTATGACAAGTCTGTTTTAGTGTATTTACTTATATTAATACCTTTTCACTGTAGGTCCTCGATGAGAAGATAATCTTTGTGAAAGTGCATGCACCTTGGGAAGTGCTGTGCACATACGCAGAGATTATGCACATCCATCTGCCTCTGCAGCCCAATGACCTGAAAATCCATGACTCTCCATTTAGCTGGATGACTAGATTCTTCAGTGTGGGTGAAAGTATCATCAAACCAGAGAAAGAGTTTTTCACGGCTCCATTTGAAAACGAGCGTTTGTCAGACTTTTACATTCAGGACAAAAGCACATTCTTCAGTCCAGCAACAAGGAGTCGGATAGTGAGTCTCAATAGTATTTATATTAGGATCACTTTCTAGGGCAATCTTATTTTGAGCATAAAAATAATCAAACAGTGTCAAAAATATGTTGGTGGGTGCAGACACTAGACAGCTAACTATCACGTGGGTGTTATTCTTTCACTGGTTCAGCTTTTCCTGGCCTTTGCTAAGGAAGAGCAAATGTAAAATGTGGCCCATGAGCTCATGGATATTGGTGCTGATAACTTTGTATCTGAGGCACATTTTCTAGCATTTAAGAACACAGATGTGATATAGTAGATACGGTATTAGATTAACACTGGGGAGTCTCAGGTTTAAATCCCCACATATCTGGGGCTCATAGAATGACTTTAGGCTAGTTATGTCTGTGAACCTGACCCACTTCACATTGTAGCTGTGAGGAGAAATGGAGGGGCCATGTAACCTTCATGGAAGAAAGGTAGGATAAAAAGTAAATTGTAACTATAGCCAGTAACCATGAGCTCACAAGGTTGCACACTCAAGGTTTGTCTAGGACCTCTTCACTGAATGAAAAAAAAATATAACATGGCCTTGAGGTACCTGATGCCCCACATGTAAAAAGCATCAGTATACATCTGGTAGTTGTCTACCTGATCTGTACAACAGATCAAAGCAATCACAGTGGCTGTAGTCACACTGGTGGCATGGCGCAATATGGTGCTGCCTCTAATTGTACTGGGTTAAAGTGTTGTGGGGCATGTCATCCAGACAGCACACCCACCTGGGGGTTACCCACACAGACATCCCATTACTGTAGCGCCTCAGCCACAGAGTGCGCTGCCCAGAAATTGTTCAAAATGCATGCACGTGCATGCGTGCTCATGTGTGCACATGTGCACATGTGTGTGCATATGCACACATGCACATATAGGCAAAAAAAATTTTAAACCCTCCCTAGTGGAGAGAGAATGGATCTGCAGGTTCAGACTGCCAAATCCGTTCTGCATGCGCTCCCCCGCATCCAGGCATTCAGGCATGTACAATGAATGTGCAAGGAACTAGAAACACCACTTGTCATGTGGTGCCTTTTTAACCTGGCTTCAAGTCTTCCTATGACAGGATGAGTATGCCCGGTGAATGCCTGACAGATGTGGCTGTGTGATTGTGCCCATTTGATCCTGGAGGGGAGTAGTGGCTGCATCAGGCCAAATGACTTGTGTGTAAGCACTGTGAGCACTGATGATGTAGTGTAAGTCAGTGTAAGCACTGATGATGTAGTGTAAGTCAGTGTAAGCACTGATGATGTAGTACAGATGACAGAAGGAAAATAAAAACCCCAATTTCATGCTACACACCAACTCACAATCAGTCCATCTGGCCAATAATAGTTGGAGTTCATGAGAATGTCAGTAGTAGCCATATATATCATCCTGATTTTTAGGCTTGCAGTTACATAGTCTGAAATCAGACATTCTTTTTTGTGGGAAAAAATATTTGCAGTTTTGCAGATTCTGGAATTTGGCAGTAGGGGCTGAGATGGGTTATGGGAGATACTTTGAAGCAAATGCATGTCACTACTGGCCATTGGCCTTAGGAAGGCTCTTCAGCCTTTAATATTTAATCATTTGTTTGAAATGTATATCCTCCTGCATAGGTCAAAAGTTCCAAGGCATCTTGTGTAATTTAATCCTTTGTGAGGTAGGGAGACGGAAGCAACAGGAGGGCAGAGTGGTGCATGCATTTTATGTTCTTTGTAACCAGCTGGTAATTTCTGGTTTCTAAATTCTCAGCAAACACTGTCCATATATTTTCTAGCCTTTCTCTACAATCATGAGAACTACAAGGACTTTAAAAAACATAAAAGTGAAGGATGTGTTCAGATGTAGATGTTGTTGGTGTGATTGTTGCAGTTAGTACACAATAGCTCAATCATTGTCTCACTATGAGCAAATGTAATGTTATCAGATAAGAATGATTTAGAGTTTCTGTTAGATGGTCATTCTGGGGTTAAGCATATTTCCAACCCCCCTTTCAACATCACATCTCACTCCAGAGTTTAAAATGATCTAACACCTATAGGTTTACTTTGTTCTTAACTAAAACCACTGGTAATTTTCAGGTTTACTTTATTCTTTGTCGTGGGGAATATGCAGTAAGAGACAATGTGAAAAAGTTTGGCATCAACAAGCTACTGGATTCTGGGATCTACAAAGCTGCTTTTCCACTCCATGATGTAAGTCTAATGTCTGAAGACAGCCCTTTTGAAAATGAAAGGTAGTATCCTTAATACTTTGATACAAATGGCTCTATAGTGGCCCTTTAACCTGAGCACTAGATAGTACCCAGCTATGTTGCAACATTATTCTTTATAGTGTACAAATTGACAAAAACAAAGTATTGTGTATGGAGCAATCCATCCAATATAGAATATCCTTTTTTAAAAAACATGTTGTGAAGTGTAGTGTGGAAAACGAAATGGCAGCAATGTGGTAAATGAACCAAATATATGAAACAGGATTGTATATTTTACGCTGTTTGGATTGGTGGAGATTGGAAGTTAAAAAAATTAAAAACTCAGGTTTTGTCTGATGGTCTACCAGTTGTTTAACTAGCTGAATAGTAAGAGGGTATTAAACAGTCCCTGCCAGAAACATCCACAGCAATGTTACTGCACACGAGATCAGCTTTTCCACATAATAAAATTTCAAAAATCTTCCTTCTGTACTTTTTCCCTTATGGAGCTTGAAAAAAATCAATAGAACAAAATATTTAGGGAAGGCAAAGATCACTAATTACTTCAGATGTTGGTCTTGACGTGAAAATTAATCAGAAAGATTCTAAACATTGAAGACTATTCAGAATGAATGAGACCCTACTTTTAATCTTCTAAGTGAATGCAGCAAAGAAACAAAAGGATTATCTTTCCTTTTAAGTCTGAAACAAAGGATTGGAAATTCAGGCTTTATATTCCGCATTTTGTAACCTTCATGTTTTGGAAATGGATCTCCTGAGCTGTAATTTGGTTCAATTCTCATTTTCTGTTGCTCAGAGATACAGTTTTGCTCCTTGCATCTCTGAAGCCATTGGCTGCACTATGCCACCACTGGCAAAAAGCCCCCACATGCCATAGGTTGGGGGTTGTAGGGAGACAAGATACACACAGACATAAACAGACTGGCTTTGTATCTTACTGGAGAGATGGCCTTGAGGACTGCATCTTACTTTGAGAAAGTTTCCTTCATGCAGCAAGTGAATAAGTATGTAGAGTCTTTGATCCATTGAGGAGTTCTCAAGCTTTGCCCAGAATCTGTTCCTGTGGATGCTGTCAAATGCTGCTTTGAAATTCCAGAGGCAGCGTGGAGTGCTCCATTTGGCTTAGAGCTGTACTTCTCCACTAGGTGGTGCAGAATCAGACAGTACATGTGCTTCCACCTCTTGACATCTGTTGAACGTTACAGCAGTAGCATTGTGCAGATGACCTGTCCATGCCTTGACTTATCTCACGTGGAGGGAGAGCAGGCCATGAGCACTTGCAGCTTCTGTATGATTGCTATCTGTACAACTCAGTAATCCTGCAGGGTTGGGAATGAAGTCAGTGCACTCATGCTTTGCTCTCCTTTCATGTGCGGTCAGTCAACTAAGGAATGGATTGTCTTCACAAGTCTCTCTCTCTCTCTCTCTCTCTCTCTCTCTCTCTCTCTCTCTCTCTCTCTCTCTCTCTGTTTCTTTTTGCCATCAAGTCACAGCCAACTTATGGTAACCCCATAGGGTTTTCAAGTCATGAGACATTCAGGGTGATTTGCATCCAAGTATTAACCAGGGCTGACCCTGCTTAGCTTCTGAGATCTGATGAGATAGCGCTACCCTGGGCTGTCCAGTTCAAGGTACAAATGAAAAAAGCCTCCCACTGAGGCAGATAATAGTAAAATGTAGAGCAGACCAACCTTAAGTAATTTCTTGGCACTATTTGCAGATGCTTCCAGTGCAGTGATGAATGGCTGAGCAGGACAGTCTGAACATGAGTAGGTTCCAAAGCAATGAGAGGAGAGTGGTATTTTCAAGACGAATGGGACTCTTTAATGATCCATAATAGAAACACCTTCTCTTTTGCAGTCCAGATTCAATCACCAGTCACAAGATCCCAGCTGCCCTAATGAGCGGTACCTGCTGTATAGAGAATGGGCCCATCCTCTAAATATTTTCAAACTGCAACCTTTACATTTTATCAGGTAGGTATGTATAGCTATCAGAATCATTGAGTGCCTTTTTTCTACACAGCAAATCTAAACAGGGAAAACAAAACCACGTAAAATTTCAAGTAATCAGTGGGCACATGAAATGAATCAATATTTATAGCTTGTCCTAGCATCACAGTGTAAATATGTTCAAAATGACACATACTTTTTTTAAAAAAAAATTACAGATATTAGACTGCAATAAAATCAACTTGCTTAACAGCAGTTGCAAGGATTTCATTCCAGATAAAGAGGCCTCATGCTATCCTCATAAGATGGCCAAGGCAGAGCTGTAGCAAAAGATGAGGAAAGGGTATTTCACCTTTGTGGACAGCTCAATGACAATATTTCTAGACATGCTTGCATTGTACAAATATAAGCACAAGTGGAATTGCCATTGTAAGCTGTGATGGGGTTCCTTTCAGGCAGAACACCTGATCCTTCAACAGCTGAATGACAAATTGAAGTTAAACATGGGAAAGTACAACAGTGATGTTTGGAGACAATAATTTAAGTCTGCTATCATGCAACAGAAATGGGGATGAGTCCCCCTTAGCTGCTTGGGATGAAGGGAAGTACAGCTTCTTTGTATTTTCAAATAACGTGTTTTTACCAACAGGAAATACTATGGTGAGAAAATTGGAATCTACTTTGCTTGGCTGGGTTTCTATACTCAGATGTTGCTCCTGGCAGCAGTGGTTGGACTTGGATGCTTTTTGTATGGGTATTTTACAAAGGACAACTGCACTTGGAGGTAACCTGTAACAGCTCATGTTAATAGTATATGAAAGAGAAGTACTAAGATAATAGATGCATGTTCATATACACATTCTATATAATATATAGCCCCTAAAAAGTGTTCTGTGATTATTTTTGAGTGCCTTTATTAGTTTTTTTTACTAAAATTTAATGGTATGAGCAGTTGAAATCAATTGCTTAGGAGCTGTGTATATGGCCCAGCATGAAGTTTACACTACTGTGGCTAGACCAGCTTTACAGTTGGGAGAGCCTGTGACTCATTGGAAGAGCATCTGCTTTGCATGCAGAAGGTCCCAGGTTCAATCCCTGTTCTCTCCAGCTAAAAGGATCATGAAGTAGGAGATGTGAAAGACCTGTGCCTAAGACCTTGGGGAGCTGTTGCTACTCAGAGCGTACAATACTGACTTTGATAGATCAAGGGTCTAATTCAGTATAAGGCAGTCTCATGTATTAAGGTAGTTGTTTTACAATATTTTTACAGACTCCATTTTGAAAGATTCTAATAGTCTTTGGAAGGATAGGATTTGATAACTGAGGGTGAAGCTATATCTAATGGGGTGAACATGTACTTATTAATTCTTGCCTCTGACTTTCCAGTTTGGTGTAGTGGTTAGGTGCGCGGACTCTAATCTGGGAGAACCAGGTTTGATTCCCCACTCCTCCACTTGCAGCTGCTGGATGACCTTGGACAAGCTGTAGCTCTCTCAGAGCTGTCTTTGAAAAAGAGCAGTTTCTGTCAGAGCTCTCTCAGACCCACCTACCTCACAGGGTGTCTGTTGTGGGGAAGGGAAAGGGAAAGGAGTTTGTATGCCGCTCTGAGACTCCCTTGGGTAGTGAAGGGCAGGGTATAAATCCAATCTCTTCTTCTTCTCTTCTCGTTCACTTATAATACTGGATGGGGAGTGTTAATATTGATACACTTTATTCCCAGCTCAGCTCCGATACCATAAATGTCCTGGGCTAGAGGTCAAAGTGCTTCATGCAGTAGTACAATTCAATATAAGGTGTCAGAAGAAAGGGGTCCCCCACCTGTGTACTTCCTTTTGTGAAAAAAGAGATTCCCACTTTCTGTTTTATACATGAACAGGGCAGACACATGTTTTTCCATCCATCATGTCTAGACGGGCCCTTAAACCTCCTTTTTCTAGTCTTAAATCTTGTTGCTTTGTTTTATAGTTTTTCTCTAGTCATACTTCATAATATTTTTCACTCATCCTCTTTTCTTTATATACAGATGCACACAGGGACATCAGCAACTGTGCATCCAACTCCCTGCTAAAATCAATGGGGAATTCTGCTGTGAAAATTAATAGCAAAATATAAATATTGATTTGATTTATTAATCAAAACTTCATGAGAACTAGTGACAAAGGAAATGAAATAAACATTAATACAAAAGAAGAAACAAATGGTTTTGTTCTATGATTAAAGTGTTTCAGAATGCCAGCCCAAGAACAATAGCAGATAAGAGATTCCAGTCTGTTGGTTGGATCTAAACTAAACTGGCAATTTCCGCTGATTCTCATCCTGCTGGAGGCCCTCCTGAAGCTATTGCTTGGTGTCTCCAGTCCCCTAGGAGCAGCATTTGGTGGGGGTTAGTGGTCTGCAGTGGAAGGAGATGGGCAGGAAACTTCCCTTCTGCCACTGAAAAATTTAATCTGGATCCAGTCCCATATATCTGAGGCCAAGCAAACATTTAGAACTCTCCTCCAGGGAAAAAGGCTACTGGGGGATTCCTGTGATCTGGAGAGGAGAAACACCAAGTGAAGGAGTGTTTAACCATCTCCCCACCCATTGGTAGAAGAAGGGCATCAGGTCTTTACATGTATCTGCACATAAAGCATGAATACATAAGTACATGTTCACTCACACCATTACATCTGTGTTGGCTTGGAAGTGTAAGTAAACTGGAATCTAAGAGAAGATGGTCACAACGGTAGTTTACAAGATCAGTGAATTTAGCAACTTGTTCACTGAGTAACTCAATTTATTTGATGAATTCATTCTGTTTTTAGCCAAGAGGTATGTGACCCTAACATAGGCGGCAACATTATCATGTGCCCACAATGCGATCAAGAATGTACATACTGGAGCCTCAGCATCACCTGTGAATCATCCAAGGTAAAAACCTTACCACCTACAGCAGATGGAAATACAGTTTTAACTTTGAGCATCGGGGAATTAAGTCCTATATCATAGATTACACTGGGAGTAGTCCTGACCTGGATATCCCAGGCTAGCCTGATCTCATCAGATCTTGGGAGCTACGTAGGGTTTGCCCCTGGTTAGTATTTGGATGGGAGACCACCAAGGAAGTCCAGGGCTGTGACATGGAGGCAGGCCATGGCAAACCACTTCTGAATGTCTCTTGCTTTGAAAACCCTACAGGGTCACCATAAATCAGCTGTGATTTGATGGCAAAAAAAAAGGCCACTGTAGCAAAAAAAAAATTGTGGCACCTTAGAGCCAGTTTGGTGAGAGCCAGTTTGGTGTAGTGGTTAAGTGCGCGGACTCTAATCTGGGAGAACCGGGTTTGATTCCCCACTCCTCCACTTGCACCTGCTGATGTGACCTTGGGTCAATCACAAGCTCTGGCACAGCTGTCCTTGAAAAAGAGAAGTTTGTGTCAGAGTTCTCTCAGCACCACCCACCTCACAGGGTGTCTGTTGTGGGGAGGGGAAAGGAAAGGAATTTGTAAGCCGCTCTGAGAATCCAAGTGAAGGGCGGGATATAAATCCAATCTCTTCTTCTTCTTCTTCTTCTTCTTCTTCTTAGGAGTGCTCCTAGATGCCTCCTTAACAGTGGAGGCCCAGGTAGGAACCACTGCCAAATCAGCCGTTTATCATCTTTGGCTGACCAGGCAGCTGGCTGCCTTTCTCGAACGCAGTGACTTAGTAGCAGTGATTCATGCAATGGTCACCTCGAGATTGGACTACTGTAATTAGGGGTGTGCAAAAAAAAATAATTTGGCCCGATTCGGATTTGGCCGAATCGGGCAGACTCCATTTCGGCCAGCAAAAAGACTCCCGCATGTCAATTTCAGCACTGCAAGCCCGGAGTCTTTCGCCAGCCAAATGTCAATTTCGGCCCCATTATATTCTATGGGCCATTGAAGTCAATGGCGAAAACATAGGGTATATTCTGGGGGCTGGAGGGGAGGGGGTTTGAGGGAGAGGCTCCAAACTTGTAGGGTAGCTGCTGGAGCCTCTCCCCAAGATACAGTGGAAGTAATGGGGGTAACCTGTTTGGGTGCACATAGAATTGGGCCCACTGATCCAATTGCTTTGGGACATGGGGGTTTATGTGGGGAGAGGCTCCTGAAGCTACTCTGAAAATGTGTAGCCTCTCCCTCAACCCCCCCCCCCAGAGCCACTAACAGCACGGTGGGGGAAAAGTAACTTTGAGAACAATGGAGCGGATGGGGACAACCTGTTTGGGAGCCAGTAGAATTGGACCCCCTGGTCCAATGTTCTTGAAACTTGGTGGGTATCTATAGTGAACCTGATTCAGTTGCTCATATCCTTCTATGTTGTCCTCATTATTCTACTATGCGTAGCTATCTGATTAGTCCCCGCTTACCTACCACAAGGAATCCGACTGACAACGACCTTAAAATTTTATTGTCTGATAAGTTCTCGGCAACTACTTTGTCTGTTGCCAAATTCTTAGCCTATGTTTGGAGGCTTAGGGATAGAGCGTACAAGTCTTAATCCCCTTGTATTTTTTAGAATTGTTATATTCTGAACTGAGTTTATTATTTCCGAGAAGTTTAAAAACGATCCCTTGTTGGTGCAGCTTGGTGTAATTTCGTTCTATTTTTATTTGTTTCATTGTTCTCCTTGTTGCTGTGTTATGCCAATAAAGGTTTATGCAAGAGAGACTCCAGCCCAGGATTTCACAAAACAACACTAATGTTCCTTTAAACATAGATAGTCTTCAGAATGGATAATTCATCTGTAGATGCTGGACCTCAAAGGATTTTTGGCAGATTGTGTCTGAGGGCCCAGCTAGAAGAGCTGGAAGAAGAGCTGTGACTGGCAGTGAAAGAACAGTCAGATGATTCACGGAGTCATCCCAAGTAATCTAAGCCTATTGACATCAGTGAGCTTAGAAGGGTGTAACTTTGCTTAGAATGACAGTGTGTATCTCCCAAGCATTGGTTATTGTTAAATAGCAGCTGGGGGGGGGGGTTATACTGAGGATGTGGAGCATAAAATAGTGTGTCTGTAAAAATCCGCTTAGTTAAAAATGTAGAAGTCGATAAGGCATGGTTGCCAAAGGAAACTTCAGTACAGAAAATGTTATTCCTAGAGATATGAAGGTTCAGAAGAAAATACAAGAAAATTGGGCAAATGTTGTTGTAGTTTTTCCCCATGGCTTCAAAATTTCCAGAAATTTTAACCTCCAGCTATTCCTGGGCAGAAGTACAGAATTCAGAACTGAATAATTGAATAATATATATTTGTTTATTTCATTGGACTTCTAGCCCGCCCTACCCCGCAGGTAGGCTCAGGGCAGGTTACAACAGAAAATAAATACATGTTCCAAATTCTAGAACTACAATCAAACCTTAGATAACAGTAAAATATCAATAAATAACAATTGTAACAATGGATGGCATCAGCCAGTTATTCCATGTCTACCTGCTTCCGTATAAGTTCCCTACATGTGTGTAGATGGATGACAATTAGTGCTCATGGGGCAGATGGAGGACAAATAGACTGTACATAATAAGCAGAGCAAGCAATGCGGAGAGGGGAAGGCTAAGATAAATAGCTCTCCGCTGCTTCAGCTATAGGCCTGTCCCATAACTTCCTTGACTACTTAACTTCAGCATCCAGTATTATCTTTCCATGCCAAGCCCACTCCAAGTTTTAAAATACATTTCTGTACTCCATGTGGATGCTCAGCTAAATAGTTGGCATAGTGAAGTATTCTGAGGCCCAAAAGCAATGTACCACCTGTGCTATGTATATCATTCACATCCTTACCTGCTTATGTGCAATGAAATGGTGGAAGGTTTGGGTTGTTGTTTTTTTAAAGACCAACCCAAGTGCCTTGGGGAGGAGCCAGGGTTTAGCTACCCTTTCCACCAAGAGGAGAGCTCATCACTGCTACCTGCAGCAACTTGCTTTTGTAGCATTCCACTGTTCCAAGCACTTTTTTTCTCCCACTACATCTCCAGTACCTGAAATGAGCTTGGCTGGAGGAAAAATGCTTCAACAATGAATTTGCAGATTTTGCTTCCTTGACCTACATGCTCCATTTTGTTTGAAAAAAATTCACTCCCCACCCACACATTTTTCCTGGAAGGGTGGACCTGTGGACAATGAGGATCTCCCCCATCACATCTCTTTTGGCCCACAGTAAAATGGATACTCTATGAACTTAAATTAATCTCATGTAGACCTGTGGGCCATGTCCTGAATGCGCTCTAGAGAGGAAGAGTTGGATGCTCCCCATGGCAAGGCTACCCTTGGCTCAGAAATACCTCCTTCTACTTAAAATGGGAGGCAACATTAAGGAAGCATATAATTTCCCTTAATTTTTAGATTTGCATATGAATAACAGTGTAAAAAAATTAAACAGATGGAACATTAATTCTCTAAAACCATTTTACTAACGAGACATAAAGTTATCATGCTTATTTTGTGATATACTGATCACATTGTTATTTTTATTCCTCTGATGGATGTCTGGATCCTTTGTTCATATGATAAGAGTACAGCATCTGGCACTGCTGATCTCAGGCATTACTTTTATGCAATTCCAAGCTGCTGCCATCACATGCGAAACATGTCATTTGAATCCTTTCTAAGGCAATTCATATATCTACTTGGGCTTTTTTGTTTTCTTTGTTTTAATATGTGACGTGATATTCCTAATGCTGAAATACTGTCTTGCTTCTTGAGATAGTCAGTTGGCTTAGAAATGGTGGTTGTGCCTTCTTTAATTCTATGCACAGCCCACTTGGTTATTTTCTACTGTGAGGGAGTTGATTTGTGGTACTTTTTTCTGATTCATAAAAATTGGGGAAATACTGGAAATCTAAAGCTGTTTCTTGCACCATAAAACTCAAAGCCCTTTTAGGTCTTCTCATATAGCAGAGGGTTGTACACAGCCATCTGATGATACCTTTTGGACTCCTAGGTAACAGATCATCAGTGTCATCTGCTGATCAGCTCCATATGAAGGAGACAGGAATAGGAAGTCCATGTTAAGAACTATCCCAACTGCTAGTCAGTGCTATAAGCTGATGATACTGACCATTGGTTTGACACTGTATTGGTGTGGGAATTTTGAATCCACAACCTGAAGTGCTGTATGTGGAGTTAACAATAGATTTTTGAATTTATTGTTGTTGGTTTGAATGTTTATGATAGGTGTAGAGCATGAAACTGTGAGTGTAAGCAGTATATCAATATTTTTATTAACAAACTAATGCTCCACTGCAACCATTTGTATGGCATAAGGGAAACTTTCTTTAGGCCCAGTATAAACTTGTAACACACCTGCATATGCAGTGCCTTTTCATACATATGACTTTATGAATCATGAATTGAAATGTTTGTTTTACTTCTGAACGATGTAAAAAGACCATATAATCTTAACAGGCTTGTGGCAGGCCGGGGTTGTCTGAACCCCTAAGTCCTTGAAATTGCTAAAGTGTACCAATTTAATCCCCCATGCTTGTGCTGTGCTAATGGAATTAGTGTAATTGTGTAAAACAATGATAAAAGAGTTTGCTCTTTTCCATTGTGGAAAAATAATTCTGCTTCATATTTTCTTAATGTTTTCCAGAAGCTGTGTATATTTGATAGCTTTGGAACACTAGTGTTTGCAGTATTTATGGGAGTATGGGGTAAGCTAATTTCATATTATTAATGGAGTTTTACTTAATTAATCCAATTCCAAGCACTGATGTTGGTTTCAAAATGTATCTATGTTTATAACATATTCCATTATACATATTCTGTTTTATTATGAAGCCATGATATAATTCATAAGCATCTCCCTAGAGATTTGCTTGAGAAAACTCACCAAGTAAAAACCACATAATGAAATTATGAAACAACAACATAAATATATTAATAATAAAACAAGCTAGGGTCATAAAATCATAAAATAGCATTCAGCAGCCTAAAATGATATTCATAAAAAACAGACCATAAAACATCTGGAAATTTCTGTATTTGGTAGAGTGTGCCTGAATGATAGGAGAAAGGCAAGCATATAAATATTTTAAGTAAATATAAGTAAATTCAGAAAAATTATTCAGAGTCTCTCAAAATCAACAAATTGAAAAAAGATTTTATTCTATAAACAGTCAAATAAGCTAGTATGACACCCCTGTGCATTCCCCTCACTCAGAGGCAAGGTTTTCCCTCTGTTTTTCTTTCCCTTTTGTGACTGAGCTGCCCTAGTTATATGTGTTCTTCATTTCTGAAGAATTCTAGCTGTCCCACCCTGTCTCAGTATAATATTTTGGCTTTTTTTCTCAGCTCAGGAACCTGAGGGAAGGAAAGGGAGCACCCTTTAACTTATACAACTTAAATGGCACTTGAGAAGTTTTAATACTCCCAATTAAGAAGAAAAAGAAGAGGTTGGATTTATACCCTGCCCTTCACTACCCAAAGGAGTCTCGGAGCGGCTTACAAACTCCTTTCCCTTCTGTTGTGGGAGGGCCCCACAACAGACACCCTGTGAGGTAGGTGGGGCTGAGAGAGCTCTGACAGAAACTGCTCTTTTTCAAGAACAGCTGTGCCAGAACTATGGCTTGCCCAAGGTCATCCAGCAGGTGCAAGTGGAGGAGTGGGGAATCAAACCTGGTTCTCCCAGATTAGAGTTCACACATTTAACCACTACACCAAACTGGCCACTTAACCACTACACCAAACTAACAAAATAGGGGAAAGGTAAGGTGAAATCAGGGGTAAAAATTTCTGAGGTTAACTCAGTATAGAAAACTGAGGTAACATCAGTACATGCACAGACATTAGTTCTTATGTGACAGGCTAATGAGAATTTCTTAAGCTTTTCAGTGACTTATCTTTATGTTGAGAGGCTTTTGTTGCAGTTTCCCCCCAAAACACTTCAGTATTAGGGGTGTGCAAAAAAATCATATTTTTCAGGTTTGGGTACACTGTACCTGAAAAGTATCAGTCTTTTCTGGTATTCCAAAATCTCGATTGACATTGGGATTCTGGAATTTTTTTGAAAAACCCATTTTCCCCCCCAGCTCCATTAGGTCCATAGAATCGATAGATAGGTCCCTGTAGAGTTGTTGGTCCCCATAGATTCGATTACTTGCTGAGTCGCACGGCCACCACTGCTGCTGCAGAGCTTGGATGAGAAGGCATTTAAAGAGACTTGTTTTTTTTACCTGCTCTGAGCCCTGTTCTACAGGGGGAGGCAGGCTATCAATCTAATAAATAAATAAAGGAAGTTTTTAACACCACCAGACCAGGGATCTCTGTATTCTTCAGACCTATTAATCTGTTTAGATTAGGTAGAGAAATCCTTCTCTCTCTAGAAGATCTATCCCCTTTCCTTGGCCCGAATGGGAGTCTCCATCTAACTACCCACTCATCCTTGCCAACTTTCCACAGTTCTCCTGTCTGTGTTAAACTGCTTTTAGTCAGGGCTGAATTCTGAATGAATTCTCCTCCTCAGCGTTCAACTCTAAAGTCTCTCTCGGTTCAGCTGATGTTGACCAATCAGATTGCTTGGAGCAGTCTGTCACTAAAGGCTATCTGTTTCTGTGAAGAATTAACTCTTCACAGTCCTTCAGCTGTTTGTACAACACTTCTAAGCTTTTAAAAAGTGCAGTTCATCACAGCTAGCACCTGGGGAAGTCTAAAAAATAACATGTACAGAACAGAGCAAATAAAAGTAAAAGCACAGTTTTTTGCTGTCTAAAACACAATACTTCAGGTGTTTTGCCCCTGGAGATGGACCATATTTCACACAGCAGGCATTTGGAAGAAGGCCTTTCTAGCCCATATTTCAAGGAGACCCTCAGAAGCAAGAAGTTTGCTCCTTCAGACTGCTCCTTCAGATTGGATGCAACATCATGGAGTTCTTTACAGCCAGTGCCTGTAGTGCAGAGTTCAAAAGAAGTGGGTGGTGTGCAGAAAGGTAGGTGTCAGGACAGAGACACAACAGAGCATAACTTTGAAATCTCCCACGCCAAGCAGCATATTACCTCAGCAGTGGGGGAAGGGCCTGAGCATGAGATGGAGAATCCACAGTCAGATTATTTCTCATGTGCACATATGTTTGGGAAAGTATGAGTAGAGCTTTCAGAAGATGGGATGTTGGTATGAATATCTCATCTCATATGTTATTTCCTCTGCATGGCTTCAGCAATAGGGCTGTAGAGTGCTACTTAAACCATGCAGGACAAAAATATATAAATTCCCAACATTTCTGTACATTTTGATATCACATTTCATCATGAATGTGCTCTACATATTATCTAGAATGTGCAGTAGGTTGCAGAAGTGTGAGGGTCATATCTATTTATTTTAATAATGAAAATATCTATACCCTTCCTTTCCCATTGTCCACAGTGGTTCAATGTTCCCTGCAAAGGCAAGCATAAACAAACATTGAACAGTTAAAAAGTTATAAGATTCTTGCACAAATACAAGAAAAAGCCACCAAATCTATTATTTGCCGACAATTATCCAGCCAGAAAAGCATCAGTTGCCCTCTCAAAGGCCCTTTTAAACAGAGTGGCTTAAAGGCCTTTGGAACAATACCAAGGTAGGGACCCTCCAATTTTTTATTTTAAATCCTGCATGCAGCCAACTAGAACATCAGAAAGGAAGCAGCTAAGAGACAGATCAAAGGCTTCTGGAATGATAACTCTTGTAATGATTCCTTCTTTCTTCATTGCAGTAGTTCATATGCTAGGCATGCAGCAGCTGTAAGCAATAGGGACATCTCGTGGTAAAAAAAAAGGTTTCCTTAATCAGAGTGTTCCCAGTGACTGACTAATGCTGCATGCGGTGGTCAAGGTAAAGCTGTTTACCCAGAAAGCATTTTATGTCACTTAACTGATCCTATTTACAAGGTCACTAAATGGCTTTAATCACTCCTACTTAATCATAGTACTGGCTCACCGGTGATTAAAATCAGTGCTGCACTGGAATTTAATTGCACTGAGAGATTGCCATTAACACTGTATCAAGGACAGTCTACAATAAGGTGCTGTTGTGACATTTAAAATAATATGTTGTAGAGTGGCAACATGTTTTTATAATTAAATACGTTTCATCCTCTTATACTTTAAAATGGACACAAATAATTCCCCACCCCCCCAAAAAACCCATCAGTATTGAATATAATCTAAAGGCTTTGAAATGATTTACTGAACTAGACCGGTGCTGCACAATTCCAAATACTTATTAATAATCATAATGTAAATATTGATAATGGATGCATGACATGGTCAAATAGCTTTAAGTCATGTCATGCATCAACAAACTACTTAACTATGCTAAATAGCTTCTGGCATTAAACAGCATATTAACTCTGATATGTGTTGTTGAACATTTTCATTGATCATTGGGACTCACAATAACCAAGATTTCACAGGCTTCTGTTATTTTAGCAAGTACTGTTTTAGAATAGATGGCATGCTCTTGACAACCCTGGAATCCTGGTTTCAAATCATGATTAAAAGATAACCAGGTAACTTTGCCCTTACCTGGATATCCCAGGATAGCCCAATCTCATCAGACCTTGGAAGCTAAGAGGGCCAGCCCTGAATGTCACTTGCATTAAAAACCATACGGGAACTTGATGATAAAAAAAGTTTTAACTTTAACCATAATTAAGAAGTGCCAACAAAAGTTGTAACCTTCATTAAGACCAGCGGGGAGGAGAATTTGTGCCAGAAAGTAGAGAGGCTTGGGCAGTTCCATGGTCTGATCCTGATCTCTTACCATGTTTAATGGGTCTGGAGCATTACATTTATATCAGGCTCATAAAATTTACTACAGTGTTACTTGTTTTCTGATTTCTGACTCATTACCAGATGTTGTGATTACAATTTCAGTCTTTCTGCAAAAATGAGGTTTGGAAACATGTACTTAAAAAGTATTTGGACTTTCAACTCTCTCTGTCTTCAGAACAGAAAATACTTAACATAGATAAACAATAATCTTGCTACAACTCTATCCTGTTTTTCCTTCAGTTACTTTATTTCTAGAGTTTTGGAAACGACGGCAAGCTGAATTGGAATATGAATGGGACACGGTGGAGTTCTTAGAGCAAGAAGAGCAAGTACGCCCAGAGTACGAGGCAAGATGCCATCGCATTATAGTGAACGAGATCACACAGGTGATGTATTTTTGTAAATATAAGAGAAAACTTTCTAATCAGAGAAATGAGGTCTAGTTCCTTGTTTATCAGTGGGCAAAACCAAATACCTTGAGTAGCACCTTTGATACAAACCTAGGAGGAGAAAGGAGCCAGCCTATAGCTTGGCCACAGAGTTCCATGTTTTGCATATACAAATTCCCCTCTTGGGTGAAAGGATCTAAAGGCCAAATGAAATAAGACACTGAGATATCTGTGATCAACCCCAGAAGCTGTTTTAAGGCCAAAGCAGCTGGCAAGGGGTGGAGCAGGGAGTTGGATCAGACTGGGGAACTGAGTGTTCGATCTTTGTCCCATACCATCCCCCTCTCCTCCTAAAGTGCCTCTCAGAGTTGCTATTTGTTCTACAGGCAACATACAGGTCCTTATATGTTTTCCCAGCAGATCAAATAGCAATGGGAGGGCATTTCAGTCAAGAAAAGAGTGTGTGGAGAGAGGGCCAAGCATCCCTGTCTTTCCCAGCACTGCTTCTGTAACCCAGTTTTTCCTCTTACCCTCTCCTCCAGCTATCTTGAAGGGGAAAAAACCCATGAAATTATCAGACTCAGGTTTGCCTTCTGATATGTTCTCAACTATGTCTTCTGCACCTGTAGTAATATCTACCTGAACTATGTAATACGCACCCCGCTCCTCTCCCCTCTCTTTGTTTTCCCCACTGTAGCAGATGTTCCTGCCGTTTGCTTATCGCTCACACCCGCTGACATTCCTGGTGGAAGGGAGGGTAGCTGTGGAAGGGAATGAATGTGTGTCAATGACTATAGTGTGGGGAGGCCCTCGGGAGTATTCTCATGGGAATGTCCTTGAAGAAGATAAGACTTTGAATGGCTAGTTGAACCATTGTATCTGTCTGGGTTCTTAGGATTGCTTATATTTGTGACTGTGTGATGTATGACCGGAATGTGGGTTTTAGTTATACCCCAGGGCCCCACTTTCTCCCCTCATTCCTGACAAAGCATTCATCTACTCAGCATCTCAAATCTCTGTAATAAACTTTCTTCTAAGTGTCAGCTAAGGCTGCCATGGGATGGAATGTGAGGGTTGCTCCTTTTGTCTCCCTCCTCCCTTCCACCCTTCTCCCTTCAGCTGCATGCTGATATCTGTCCATTGTCCTTGAAAGTTTTATTCTGCCTGCTCCTAGCTTTCCGCTGGGAATGTAACCGTTGCTTTTTGCCCACGTCTTCAGTTGCTTGCCTATTGGCTTTACTGTATCAGGGGGTCATGTATAAAGGGGGTATATCTGAAGGTTCAAATCATTAGCCCACCATTCCTGACACAAATATTCATGGTGTCCTGAGTACTAGCTCTCAATAAATTGAAACTTCTGAAGGAACGTTGTTGAGTGTCTTCACTGTGAAGCCTGACACTAAGAAGGCCTGTGTGGAGAGTGATTTGACTTGGAACCTGACAGATTGTCAGGAATCTCCATTTCTCCTATCCGACACCCCACCATCTTTATGGGGAACGGAGATGGAGACGGCAGAGCAGGGACCAGTACCGGGTCCGAACCTGAGTTGACTGGCCCTTACTCCCAGAAGCAGGAGAAGTCTACCGGGACGTGCCCTAAGAAGCAAGTGTTCTTCCAACCCCCTGATCGCTGGGACGATCCAGCCTGGTTGGGGGGTACCCCTAGTCTCCACGGTGCTAGAGGGCACGCCGAATGAGAACAATGGAGGGTTTCTCGTACGTTCCAGGATGATCCTGAGCTGGGACAGATGAGAGAAGAGTGGGAGGATGAGACATCTATGGAGAGGGGCCAGTCCAGCCTACGCTCGGATATGAAGGAGCTGAAGGAAGGTTTCCAATATCTGGTAAAGAACCTCCCCAAACTGGTGAAGGAGTTAATGGGGAAGGACATCACTGACACCTCAGAAGAGGAAGGTGAGAAAGAGGAGGAAGCTGAACCCCCTCCCTGGCCTGCCTCACATAAGCCCAGTATGGAGCGAGAACGGCCTTGAGATGCACTGGAAGCTACCTACGATGGGAGCCCTGCCAAAGAAGGCCAAGCTAGCCTTCTTTGCGGTCCATGTGCAAAAGATGCTGCGCGAGTGGGGTCACACGTTTACTTTGGATGAACAGCAGGTGGACTTCATTGGTTCCCACTTATGCGACTGAGCCGCTGACTGGCTTGTTGGCCTTTATTACGTCACGGTCCTGGAGTTGATGGATGTCGATGTTTTCATGCAAGCCCTCCACCATCAGTTTGAAGACCCCTTGGAGCTGGAGAAGGCAAGGACCCACTTGAGGGGCATTCATCAGGGCACCAAGTCAGTGCAAGAATATTCAGACGAGTTTAAGGCCACCACTGCGAAGCTTTTGGGGTGGACTGAGGAGATGCTCATTGAATTCTACAGAGCCAACCTCAACACTATCATCCTGGTGCAAGACAACCCCCTAACCCTAACGGGATGGATCCAGGTGGCGTACAAAGCAGAAAATTTCCATAATCGGGTAAAGTTATACCACCAGAAGACTCCAGGTCGAGGGGCAGGGGTTTTCCCCCCTTGGGGGACCAAGAACAGAACCTGAAAAAGGGGCTCTGCCTCTGATGTGGAAAACTGGGTCACTTTGCTGCCAACTGTTCCTGGATCAGATTCAACGACCCCAGTAGGTGGGACATCAAGAGAGAGGTGCCAAGTGAGAGGAAAGAGATATCGAAGTCTCCCTGCGCTCTACAGGTCGCTGAGTTCTTATAATCAGAGATGGCTTCTTCCAGCGAGGGTGACAAGCCTCAGGTGCAGGGAAAAGGCCAGGCCCTGCTGTGAGGGGTGGCAGCCAGCAGATCCCTGATTCCCCAGTGCATGAATCAGTGAGAAATGGCACTTCTTTATTTTTTTGTGGCTGTGACTTTATTAAACCACCAAGCCAATACTCAAATCCAGGTGAGGGCATTAATTGACTCAGGATGTTCTCAGGACCTCATTAGCCCCACTTTAGTTATGGGACTAGGATCCATGGTCCATGAGATGGGGGACCCAGTAGTCTTCACCCAGATGGACGGGACTGCCATGCAATCATGCAAGTTTCAAACTGTGGAACTACCGGTGGGGGTGTCGAGACACTGGGAACAAAGGGCTTTCATAGTGCACCCCACTGCCCAATTCCCCATGGTCTTAGATAGCCCCTGATTGGCAGCCCATGACCCCTATGTCCAATGGAGTAGAGGAACATTGACATTTTTAGACCCCAGTTGCAAGGAGCATCAGTGGAACCCAGTGTGGGGGGAGGAGCCCTGTCCAGCCCCTGCATGAGTTTGCCTGGCACAAGAGGAATTAAACGCCATTCCCCCGAAGTACAGAGACTTGGGGAGGGTGTTTGAGGAGGGGACTGTGCCATTGAAATATTACCAGGGCACAAAATGCCCAAGGGGAAGCTATATGATGTGAGTCCCCCGGAATGGGAGGAATTATGACGGTTCATTGATAAAAACTTTGAGCAGGCATTTATCCAACCCTCTACCTCCCCTTTTGTGGCTCCCATACTGTTCCGGAAGAAGAAGGATGGGGGTTTGAGACTGTGTACAGATTACCAGGGCTTGAATGCAGTGTCCATATCGAATGCCTACCCCTTGCCACTAATAAAGGATTTGCTAGCCGAGGCGGCTAAAGGGAAGTACTTCACGAAACTGGACCGCCGGGATGCATACTTTAGAGTGCGTATCCAAGAGGGGGACGAGTATAAAATGGTGTTTAACACCCCCCTGGGACAGTTTGAATATTTGGTGATGCCATTCGGCTTGGCGGGAGCCCCGGTGGTTTTCTTGGACCTAATTAATGAAGTGTTGCACAAGCACCTGTTCAAGGGGGTGGTTGTTTATCTGGATGACATGTTAATATACACGCAAGACCTGGATTCACACATGAAGTTGGTGCGCGAGGTGTTGACTGCACTATATGACAACCATCTGTTTGCTAAACTCTCTAAGTGCGAGTTCCACAAAACAGAGATTTTCTGGGGTACCGCAAAACCCAGCAGGGGCTGGAGATGGACCCCAAAAAGGTGCAGGACGTGGTGGGGTGGGAGCCCCCCAAAACAGCTTCAAAGCTTCTTAGGGTTTGTGAATTTTTACTGTGCCTTCATCCCTAAGTTTGCACAGGTGTTGCTGCCCCTGACTGACTTATTAAAAACTAAAGGGAAGGGGCCAGAAGCTACCAAAGGAGGAAGTAAGCTCAAATGGTCCCCCGAATGCCAATGGGCTTTCGATGAGTTAAAACTTTTATTAACTTCAGAGCCCATTTTACATTACCCCGATGAGAGTAAGGGGTTTATTGTCCAGGTGGATGCTTCTGATGTGGCAATGGGGGGGGGGGCGATTCTGCAATGGGTGAGGGTGGCAAACTGCACCCCGTTGCTTGTGTCTCAAAGAAATTTTCAGGGGCCAAATGTAACTGGGCAGTTTGGGACAAGGAAGCTGTGGCAGTAAAGTTGGCCCTTTTGGCTGGAGGGGGCATGGATACCTTTTGAGGTGTGGACTGACCGTAAGAACTTAGAGGCACTCAGAACCCACTGCCACTTAAACACTAAGCAGCTCAGGTGGACAGAATTCTTTTCCAAGTTTCAGTTCACCATCAAATATCTTTCCAGGAAGTCCAACTTTTTGGCCAATGCCCTCTCTTACCTACCCCAGCACGCAAGCCAATGGGATGAGGTCACCAATATGGTCTTCCACCCTGCCCAGTTGGGAGGGGCGGTGGTGATGTGCAGTAAGGCAAAAGCGGGGAGGGAGACGGAAGTTATGGACTGGCTGGAAAGTTTCAAAGCTGCTTTTTCATGTCAGGACCTAGAGGTGGTGGTGCGTGAAGGATTACAGCACCAGGAGAACAGAAGTTGATGCAAAGGGGGGAAGGTGTATGTACTTATCTCCCTGAGAGGAACTGTAATGGCATAAAGCCATGACAACAAACTGTCTGGGCACTTTGGGTTTTTAAAAACCTTATACCTATTGCAAAGGCAATGTTGGTGGC